CGATCACGAAAAAGAGAAACTCTTGGATTGATGGGAAATTGAACAAAACTTGACAAAGCTTAATGATATGCTGGAAGAATGGAAAGGCAAGGTAATGCATAGTGGAGCCTTATAGCATTATTGTCTATACTTTAGACAGCGGATTTCACAAAATATGTACGACAAAGAACAGTTGACCTGACCAGGGATGACCTGAGTGCCTGTCCTTCGCAAATAACAGCTGCACACATGGGTCGCCTATGGTACCTCACAGCTCATCAGTGAGTGTGTGCACGAACTTTCTCTTTTATAGACCATGACTCAATATTTTTGTTTTTGTATTTTATGTTATTGTCTGGTAATACACCTAAATTTTTGTATGAGAACTGTGAGCCCACACAGGGACTTATCAAGATATGGGTGAGGATAACCTACGTTACCACATCCTTTTGAGATGTAACCTTTTGTCTCAATAAACTTGTCAGAGTCAAAAAAAAAAAAGTCTCTCTCTCCCCCTTTCTCCCCCCCCCCTCTATCTCTCTCTCTCTTTTTCTCTCTCTCCCATTTTCTCTCTCTCCCTCTGATATCAATAGACTGAGAGCTATATTGTACACACAAATATACAGTTTCTTTGAATGTATTGTCTTGAAGACATATGAAAAGAGACCAGATGAGGAATCAAAAACTTAGGGATGCTATTATAAAACCTTACCTTTTCACCATAGGTATACTCTGCCATTGATTAAATGTGCCAGCAATGGACACAGCTTGGCCTCCTCCACTCCATTTAATCACAAAGGGTAACATTTTCTTGTTTCCCTGTGTAATTACAGCCCGAGGTCTAATAGGCACATGCTCTTCACTGTCTTTGCCATCAGAGGTTGACTGAAATTTGGAAATATATCACTGAACACCTTACACATATACATCAAAGTCTCCATATAAACACTGACAGAATATTGATGCATGAACTTCTAACAAAAACCCGCTGTCTTCATACTTTTTTCAATACAACAGGTTCCTGCTCCTCCTCTGATGGCTGTTGGTGTAGCTTGTTGGCCTTATGTTTATCAAATGTAAATGCTTGGCCATCTATTCTTCCTGGAGAGTAAGGAGTAAATTGGTCTCCTGATTTATGACGATCTCTCCGTTCACCTATGGAAGCGTGGTTACCCATATTTTAAACCTGTAAAGGGACATAAAAAAATATTACCATTAAAAAAACATTTATTTATATCTGAAAAGGATACCAACCCAATTGTACCTTCTTCACCCTTTCCTTCTAATTTCAATAAATCTAGTCCTCTCAGCTCTAAGTTATCAAGATTTGCTTACAGTATAAAGTAAACCATTCATGGGTTCATGATGAGAAATCTGTACAGAGGCACACATAATATTCAAATCAGAAGTTATAAAGCATTACCCCATTCTTAACTGAGTCAAGGGGTTGGCTGGGAAAGAAAAAAGGTTAAAAGCTATTCAATCCTCCAAAAGTAAATCTGTTGCCCTCACATTTTTCACTCTTTCCTTAACTCATGTTTGTTATACTGTATCATGGCGACAAAAAAACACTTTTCATTAAACAGACTCCATCTGCCAGTTTCTTTGAATTGTGCGAGGCCTGACCCAAAGAATATTTGTATACTTGACAGGCATAAATAAAGAAATAAATGCGCATTCATCAGTCTGGACATGCATATCAACCAGGCTAATAGATAGTTCAATGTAAATCTATCAGATATATAGACAGATGTGCCTTTATTTCTGCGTCTATTTATGAAAATTCATTGGGCTGGGCTTGGCATAATTTTAACAAACCGGACGCATATATCATTTACATTTACTGTATCAAAAGACTAATAGATTCTTTTCATTGTTTATACTTCATATTATCTAAGTAGCTTAGATGGAGTAATAATAAAGAACATCATGCTATTTTCTACAAATGCATTTTTGTTGTTTTGAAATTTTCAAAGGTCTACATCTGTCATTTATGCTTTACCATGCTGGTAATATATATTTGTTGAGAAGACCCTATACTATATCTCCAAACAGGAAAACAAAGAATCATCACGATCGGGCACTCCTGCATGTCAGCTGTACACTCTCTCCTACCATGATTACATGGAGTATTCTTTGTGTTTCATTGCAAGAGTTTGGCAGCAGCCACCCATGGGGGGGTCACAGGAGGCACAGTCCTCTACTAGAGACAAAACAGTGAATGATTATGAATATTTTCTTCATATTTTACCCTGCAATTTCTCTGATACCCTTCATGTCCTCCCCTGCTGTCAAGGCCAAGATTGTTGCTAATGAGGTGGGAGGGGGAGGGGGATTTCCATACAATAATTTCTGTAAATTTCAAGTTTCATTCTTTTCAATTTGGGCTCTCAAACACTTTTATGTTTAATAACTGTTATTTTTCAGTTGCTAATGAGGTGGGAGGGGGAGGGGGATTTCCATACAATAATTTCTGTAAATTTCAAGTTTCATTCTTTTCAATTTGGGCTCTCAAACACTTTTATGTTTAATAACTGTTATTTTTCAGTTGTAAGTTGTGACGGATGTGCACAGATAAGTTTCTTAGTTGTTATGACGGATATGCAAAGATAAGTTTCTTAGTTTAATTTGCACTATCATTTGCATTTATTATTTTCTATATAAAAGATGGCTGGATGAAACAACTTTTACCAAACTATTCTGTAAAATTATCACTACCGGTATACCTACCAAAAGACCCAGTTCAAGATAATTTAATGTTATTAGTTTTGCACAATTTCTCTGGTATACTTCATGTCAACCCCAGAAATCAGGGCCAATATTCTTGCCACTCTATGGTTCAACAAAATGAAACTAATATAAGAGCACATTGAATATCACAAACAAGCAGTCTGTCATTTACATTTTAAGAAGAAAAACTACATAATAATATTCATTATATTAACTTTTTCAAACAGATGAAATTCTTGCGACCAACTGACACGTCTACAGCCATGGGGCTTCTCTGCCTTTCCATCTTAAAATATTAATGTCGTCAATCATTGTTTTATTCTCACAATAAACTTTACTTATACATAATACATGAAAATGCGCTGCTTGTGTACGAAATGAGAAAATGACGCACCAACAGTAACAGTTTCCTAACACAAGATGACCTTCAGGGCGGATTGGGAAGCTCTGACGACGGGAGAATCTAGATTGTTTTGGTTTCAGAGGAGGATTCGCCAGCGTTCGCATAGGGATGCCCCTCTTCCGACGAGCGACTGCTACCAGACTATATAGTCTTCGCTGCAACACGGAAAAATATATACAATACATAGTATAATTATGTATATCATATATATACATATATGTATGTATGTGTACATATGTTTATAAATACACACACACACACACACACACACACACACATATATATATATATATATATATATATATATATATATATATATATATATATTATATATGTATATATATGTATATATATATATATATATATATATATATATATATATATATATATATATATATGTGTGTGTGTGTGTGTGTGTGTGTGTGTGTGTGTGTGTGTGTGTGTATGTGTGTACATACACACATGCACGCGCTGCGGATATATGTGATGTGAATTTTACGGATTATTCTTTTTTGGTAATAACCATAATCTGTTTACATTTTCACTGTACCATTGGGCTTGTTTGTTAGTAGTTCTATAAACATCACTTGAGGGCAGTTCACATAAAATTCAAGCATCGGTAAAGGAAACAAAATTTCGTCTAAGGAACTATATACATTTCGCAATGACTCTATATCACTCTTTCCTTTATTGGGTGGAACTCGATTCTACTGATATACATTCATTTTATTAATTTTCTACAGAATGATGCTCTATTACAGCAGTCTCCGGCGCAAATTTCTAATGATATTGAATAACGCGCTCCATTCAAATATGTTTTCTTGCTGTGTTCATTCTTCTCTTCCAATGACGTTGTCAAAATTCTTCGAGTCCGAATTCTGGTATGACTTGGATTTTTCCCTCCCCAACACACAACAAGCATTTGCATGTTACAGACAAAATGCTAAGGGCGATCCACTTGGGTAGACTTGAAGGTAGGACAAAAGTTTGTATTGTCATGTTAACCAAATGTAGGGTTTTATCAAATCTTCACTTCCATAGACGTTGTCACAAAATTCTTCGAGTCTGAATTTTGGTATGACTTGGATTTTCCCCTCCCCAATACACAACAAGCATTTACATGTTACAGTCAAAATGCTAAGGGCGATCCACTTGGTTCCGTACGGGTATCAGACTCAGAAAGTTGAATGTGCTGTCGATGTTGATTATATATTTGGCATGTAGTTAGGGATGTGTTTTATTGTATTGTTGGCATTGCATTGTGGGCATAGTGGCGGGAAATTCTATCAATCTTGTGGCATTGACCCTTAGGCGGGCCAATACCACCTCCTCCCTTCTATTTTTTCTGTGGGCTGTGTCCCACACTTCAGTGTTTTGCCTGATTTTGTTAGGCAGTTGCAGGTCGGTCCACTCACTTTGCCACAGGAGATGGATTTTTGCTTTTATAAGAGACACAAAACACCTGAGATCTGTCCGGACTATGCTAAGGTCCAGATCGTCAGTTGACCCGGCTAGTCGGTCAGCCTGTTCATTGCCATGGATACCAGAGTGGCCTGGCACCCATATCAGCTTGATTGATTTGTTGGCACTATGTAGCTTACGAATGATATTACCCAGCAGTTCATTTTGAGTGGTTTCTAAGGATTTAATGGCTTTAAGTGAACTTAATGAGTCAGAAAAAATGACTATTCTATCGTGGGTCGTCGATAGTGCAAAATCAATAGCTTTATCAATTGCAAAAAGTTCGGCAATAAAGATCGATGTATGATTCGGCAGTCTGAATCTCAACTCACATTCATTCGACCATACACCTGCACCCACTACTTGCTCGGTCTTGGAGCCGTCGGTATATATATGAAAAAAAGGAAGATGTTTAATAAGGATCTCTCTGAACCTCTGGCGTACCTCCACCTCCGGCGCCATGGCCTTGGTTGATGGAAGCCAAGCTTCCATGATGGAAAAATTGGGTGTTTCCCATGGCGCTATATTTGTATGAACCAGGGTATCGATGGTAGAGAGATCTATACCGACTTTAAGGATGAGGTCGTGGAGTCTTGTAGTAAAGGGCCTAATGGCTCCATTACCGTTGGGGTGGCTCGGGTCTCGAGCCACCTTCGCGGCATAGGTCAGCGCCAGCTGGCCGCGTCTGAGTCGGAGGGGAGGTACTCCTGACTCCACCTCTAGACGCTCAATCCTTGTGCATTTGAGGGCCCAAGACAACTACGCACACATGCATTCTGCACAACATCCAAACCTTTCAAAGTTGAGGCCGATGCCGAACCATACACGATTGACCCATAATCTACTTTAGACCTAATCAGGGCTTTATATACCATTAGCAAAGACTTTCTATCAGCTCCCCATTTATTTCCAGAAATGCACTTTAATAAATTTAGTGCTTTTTGACATTTATTCTTTAATTGACCAATGTGGTCTTTCCAATTAAGTCTACGATCAAAAAGTAGACCAAGAAATCTAGCAGAATTTTGAATAGGTATTGGGTGGTGAGTCCTGATGTTCATTCTCCTTCGTGAAAAAATTACCCCAATACTCTTTCTTGTGGAAAACTTAAAACCCCACTGGAGGCCCCAGTTATGAATCATATCCAGTGCCAATTGGATGCGATTTGCTGAGAATTCTGCATTACTGCTGGAATGCCATAATGCACAATCATCAGCGTACAGTGAGTATTTAAGATTCCGAGGGGGAGCTGGTAAGATGTCATTTATCATACACAAAAATAATGTAGGTGACAAGACACTTCCTTGTGGGACCCCGTTTGCCTGGACAAAAATGTCCGAGTAAGTGACATTGTCAGAAAACAATTTGACAGCAAAAGTTCTGTCAGAAATGAAATTTTGAATAAAACAAGGCAAGTTTCCACGTAATCCGAAAGCATAAAGTTTTCTGAGTAGGCCATATCGCCATGTCATGTCGTAGGCTTTTTCAATGTCTAAAAATACTGAAATCAAAAAATGCTTTTTGGCAATTGCCTCTTGAATATGACTAGCCAGTTTTACTAGCTGATCGAGAGTTTGGCGTCCTTTACGGAAACCGCACTGCTCGTCAACTAGTAAATTCCTGGAATTTAAAAAATGCAATAGCCTACTGTTAACAATTCGTTCCATGACCTTGCATAAGCAACTTGTCAACGCAATTGGGCGGTAGGAGATGGCATGTTTGGGATTACCCCCTCCTTTCAATATGGGCGAAGTGCCATGAGTTTGGAAAAGTCTGGCTTTTCCAAATTTCATTGTACACTTCTAGCAACTTAATCATGGCATCATGATTAAGATGCTTTATCATCTCATACCGAATCTCATCGGGGCCTGGGGACGTTCCTCTACAGGCTTCTAGGGCTCGGACAAGCTCATTCATTGTAAGATCTTTATTGTAATCAAGTTCATCTCCTGTGGCAAAGTGTATGGGTTGCAGCTCAGCCGCTTCCTTGATGGTCAGGAATGCGGGATGGTAATTGTCTGAGCTGCTTGTATAAGAGAACTGCCTGGCGAGTGCAATAGCAATGTCTCTAGGTGAATCTAAATTGTTGCCCTCATGAATGATGTTTTTAATTTTGAAAGATGTTTTTTTCCTATTGATTTTATTGATAGTGGACCAAACCTGTGATATTTTGGTGTTACTATTGATGGTAGAGACAAAGCTTCGCCAGGAGTCTCTTTTGGCTTGTCTGATTGTTCTACGAGCCCTAGCTCTTGCTAGTTTGTAATTGCAAAAGTTCTCGTTTGTGATGTTATTTTTGAAAAGCCTGTAGGCCCTATTGCGTTCACACAGTACCCTGCGGCAATCTGGTGTCCACCATGGAACTCTATGCTTAACGCTATCTGTCGAAGTCTTAGGAATGGATTTCATTGCTGCATCTAAAATAGAATTTTGAATATTGCTTACTTTATCATCAATGGTTTCTCCAACAAGTTCGAGCTTGACGCTCCTTGTGAAGGCGACCCAGTCTGCTCTTTTTACGTTAAATTTAGGTGCTGAAGGCGTTCTGGTTGTGTCATGAATATTTAATAAAAATAGGAAAGTGGTCGCTTCCCAACGAGTCGTCAATGGTGTGCCACAGGCACTTGGCTGCTACTGTTGAAGAGACCAGAGATAGGTCAATATAGCTCAAATTACCGGTATTATCGTCCACTCGCGTTGGACTACCATCGTTCAGAAGGATTAAATCGGAATCGTTAACAAGCTTAACTACTTGCTCACCTCTACCATCCACCCGAAGGGAACCCCATAATGTATGATGAATCACCTAAAATTACTTTATTTTGTGGCAGACTATCCTGAAGAGCAAAGAGCTCATCATAAATTACCACATTGTCAGGTGGACAATAAACTGAACATATAGCCAGATACGTGCTATTGACTTTTACTTTGCATGCGACTATCTCCAAAGTAGAATCTATAGTCACTTCTGTAAAAGGGAGGTTTTGGTGGATGTACATGGCGACTCCGCCTCCACCCCTACCCTCTCGATCCTTCCGACATAGATGGTAGTAACTCAACGAAACTAAATCATCGGATAAGGTTGTTTAAATGGGTTTCTTGTAGGACGATAATATCGGGAGCATAAGACGAGGCTAATAATCTGAGGTCATTTACTCTAGTTCTAAGACTTCGACAGTTCCATTGTATAATGGTCAACGCGAAGATTACGTTTTATGGGGTTTAGAAGTGTCTTGTCCGCCTTTTCTAACCTTTTTCTGTGAGGGAGGCGCCTCCTCTCCCGAGCTTCCCGGGGACCTCTCGCGGGAAGATTTGGAGACAAAAGCCTCCATGTCCTGCGCCTCTCTACAAGGGAGACGCCCGGTTGAAGATGATCTGCTCCCAAAAACCAGACGAAGTCCTCACAGGAGTCGCCTGGACGGGAAGGTGTGATCCAGATTGTGATTTGGTATCATCCTCCTTACGTTGCTGCTTTTGCTGGGTTGATTCAGCAATTTGTTTAATGGTTTTGTTCAATTCAAAATCTGACTCATGAATTCGATTCATAAACAACGTGACTCGCGGCCTTGAGGGCGTCTTCGCCTACATCGACGACATCCTCGTCACCAGCACCTCAGAAGCAGACCATGCCCGCCATCTCCGCGCCCTCTTCGGAAGACTGCAAGCAGCGGGCGTCGTTATCAACCCGGGAAAATGCCAGTTCGCTGTCGCTTCCCTCTCTTTCCTCGGCCACACCGTCACCACCCAAGGCATCACCCCTGCGCAGGAGGTCATCGCTATAAGAAAGTTCCCCAGGCCAGCGACGGAGAAACAGCTGCGGAAATTCCTGGGCATGTTTAACTTCTACAGAAGGTTCGTCCCTGGATGTGCCCAGCTCCTCAAGCCCCTCCACGCCCTGGTCACACCTAACAGGGCCAGCAGAAACACCAGAATCGAGTGGACGTCCCCGACAAAAGAAGCCTTCCAAGCCTGCAAAGAAGCCCTGGCCACTGCCACCCTGCTTAACCACCCTCTGCCCGAGGCTTCCCTCAGCAAAGCGGTCGACGCCTCCGACACTGCCATCGGTGCGGTCCTCCAGCAACGCCAGGGTAAGCAATGGCAACCCCTTGCCTTCTTTTCGCAGACCCTGTCGCCATGCCAGTCACGGTACTGTGCCTTTAGAAGGGAGCTCCTGGCAGCATACTCTGCGGTGAGGCATTTCCAGCCGTCTGTGGAGGCAAAGGAATTCCACATCCTGACGGACCACAAACCCCTCACCTTCGCCTTACACTCGAGGACCCCCCGCCAATACCCTCGCGAGGAGCGCCACCTGGACTTCATTTCCCAGTTCACGACGGACATCAGCCACATTCGGGGCTCGGACAATGAGGCCGCCGATGCTCTGTCGAGGGTGACCATCTCTGCTGCGACTCTCGCCGACGACGCAGTGGACTACCATCTAGTAAGCAGAGAGCAACGCCAGGACACGTCCTTGACTCCACTCCTAGAGGGCCAGACTTCCCTCTACCTTGAGAGAGTCAAAATCCCGAACTCCTGCGACGACCTTCTCTGCAATGTCTCCCTTGGCTACCCTCGCTCATACATCCTGCCTTCACTCCACCGGCGATTCTTCGATGCCTACCACCAGCATCACGGTATCCGAGCCACCCAACACCTCATCCGCAGCAAGGTCGTCTGGCCCGCCATCAACAAGGACGTTCGGCAGTGGTGTCGTTCCTGTCTCGAATGCCAAAGAAACAAGATCCACAGGCACACCAAATTTCCCCTCCAGACTTTTCCTATTCCAGACAGTAGGTTCCAACACATCCACATAGACATAGTGGGACCCCTGCCCATGGACGACGGCTACAGCTACATCCTAACGATGATCGACCGCTTCACCCGAAGCTACGCCCATCCGCGACATCACCGCAGCGACAGTCGCCAAGACCTTCAATACCTGGATTTCCCGCTGCGGCAGCCCGGACACTGTCACTACAGTCCGCGGCAGCCCGGGCACTGTCACTACAGTCCGCGGCGCCCAGTTCGAGTCCGAACTTTGGCGCCACCTACTGATCCTGCTCGGGTCCAAAAGAATCAGGACTACCGCCTACCACCCCTGTGCCAACGGCATGGTCGAGCGACTCCACCGCCATATGAAGCAGGCCTTAACATCATCCTCCCCTAACAGGAGATGGGTCGACCAACTTCCTCATGTCCTCCTTAACATCCGGATGTCGTTCAAAGAGGACCTGCAGTGCACCAGCGCAGAAATGGTCTACGGGACAACGCTTGCCCTCCCTGCAGATTTCCTTGTCACAGCCAGCAACTTCGAACCCGGGACCTTCGGCAAACAACTCTGCGAACGAATGGCCCAGGTACGCAGCCGACCGACGAGACCCACTCGACAACAGTACATATACATGCCTCCAGGACTCCAGGATTGCT